ACAGTAAACATGTATAAACAACTTTATGGACATACAAAATGGTAAATTTAGGACCTTAGCTACAAAAGTGCAAAAATATCAAGTCATTAAGTAAAACTAAAAATATCCTTATTGCCTCAAAACAAAACGAGAAAGTGCAATGGCCCCATGACTTGACTTGACTTGAATTGACCATGACTCATGAAAACAGCTGGTGTCAGGTCCAGGACACAGAGCCACATCACTTCCTTCCTGCATTTGGATTATTACATTTGGATTTGGACATTTGGACTGAAATAAACCTGAAAATAAAAACCTGAAAATAGTTAATGGGTTAGTACTCGCAAAATACGACTTTAGAGAAAAATGCATTGAAAGTGCTTTATAAATACTAACAAAGATGCAATTAAGCACTTATTATGCATTTTACTATTAATTACCTATTAATATGTGGTTCCTAATCTAAAGTGTTACCATGTACTTTTTTTTTCAAGGTAAAGTTGAGACAAATTTGAATGTTATGAGGCAACACATACAGAACTAACACCAGGACTAAAACCAGGACTAACGGACTAAAACCGGGACTAACACCAGGACTAAAACCGGGACTAACACCAGGACTAAAACCGGGACTAAACCAGTCCAGGACTAAATCAGGACTATACCGGGACTAAAACCAGGACTAAAACCGGGACTAAAACCAGGACTAAAACCAAGGACTAAAACCAGGACTAAAGCAGGACTAAAACCAAGATTAGAGCTGGGACTAACCCAGTCCAGGACCAAACCAGTACTAAACCAGGTCTAAACCAGGATTAAACTAGGTCTAAACCATTATTAAACCAGGTCTAAACCAGGTCTAAACCAGGACTAAACCAGGACTAAATCCTGGTCTAAACCAGGACTAAAACCAGGACTAAACCAGAACTAAATCAGGACTATACCAGGACTAAAACCAGGTCTAAGCCAGGACTAAACCAGGACTATACCAGAACTAAAACCAGGACTAAGCCAGGACTAACACCAAGACTAAAACTGGGACTAACCCAGTCCAGGACTAAACCAGGTCTAAACAGTATGACACCTAACAGTAGGTGAACATAATTTAAGGTGATCTCATATAAAAATAATTTCTCTATCAATAATATTTTTAATCTGGTTAAATAAAGACTGGACTTTTTATTTTCTTTTAGCAGATAAAACATCTTATGTTCAGATTTCCTGCTCTTTGCTTCTTTACTGTAAACAGTCGCTTATTCATGGAGATTTGAGCTCAACAGACAATTTAAAGAGAACAAACATGAATTTTCAGGATGTGGTTGGTTCATTCATGCACTTTTAAAAAGCATGAATATATCAAGTAATCCAAAGTATTCAGATTACATTACTCACTTTAAGTAATTTAATTTGTTGTAATCTGTAATCTGTAGGAGAATACATTTTAAAAGTCACCTTCTCAACACTGGTCTGGAAGGGTTAATACTTTGCAATGACGTCGGGCTGGGGGAGTCCTACATGTGCCTGTATGGTGGAATGTCCAGCGGTTACCATGGAGACACAATTCACACATGAGAAAACACTGACAAAAACGTTTTTTTTTTTTTGTCCCAGAAAGTCTTTGTCTAAGCTTCCACTTACACAAACCGTTCAGCTCCATTACACATTTGGATCAGTTTTTATCTTATTTTATTTCTCTTTAAAGGAATTAAATGTTCCTGGCGTTGGCTGATATCAGGTTTCTCCAGATACTTTTGGCTTTAGTATTGAAATCGGTATCAGAGGTGTAAAAGCTGCACCAGTGCGTCCCTGATGAGTAGAAGCGGTGATGATCGCTCCGCTCAATGGACTTTTCACAACTTTAAATCATCTTCTAGTGCTTTCTTCTCATTGACTCTCTGAAGTTTGTATTTGGAGCGATGTTTGAGGAAAACTTTAATCGCTTCTTTTCGAGACGCTGTTTTCACCTCCCTGACGTACGCCCTCTGCTCTGTACTTTACTTTACTTTACTTTACTTGTACTTTTAGTTTCCTTCTTGTTGCATGTAGAATGTGTCGGCGTTGCGTAGTTATTCATTTTTATGCACATTTTTTGGCACAAATGAGTAGTAGTCACAGTAGTAGTAGTAGCAGCAGTTGTAGTAGTTGTAGTAGCAGCAGTAGGAGCAATAGTCGCAGCAGCCGTAGTAGTAGTAGTTGTAGTAGTAGCAGTTTAGTCTCAGTAGTTGTAGTATTCGCAGTATTCACAGTAGTCCTAGGAGTCATAATAGTTGCAGTAGTTGTAGTAGTCGCAGTATTCAGAGTAGTTATACTATTCACAGTAGCTGTAGTAGCAGCAGTAGTCGCAGTAGTACTCGTAGTAGCAGTAGTAGTAGTTGTAGTAGTAGCAGCAGTTGTAGTCCCAGTAGTACTCATAGTAACAGTTGTAGTTGTAGTGGTAGCAGCAGTAGTTGTAGCAGTAGTAGTAGTTGAGGACAGAGGGAGAGAAGGAGGAGGAGGATGATGAGGATTAATTAGACGAGAGAGAGAGAAGGAGGGAGAGGGGAGAAGAGATGGAGAGAGAGAAGAGAGGGAGAGGAGGAAGAGGAGGAGGGGTGAGGAGGGACCCAGCTGTGCAGTCAGTGGAGCGAGCGCTGGACCCAAGAGCCAAAACAATCTGCAAAAAAAAAACAAAAAAAAACCCGACGTCCATCGTACTGAAATAATTAGAACAAAATGAAAGACGCCTGGTGGAAATGAAGGACGTTTTAGAGTCACTGTCCAAACACGACGCTCGTTTTATCAACAGGATCAAACCGAAAACGCTCTGTTCCACCCCGTGATGTCATGTGGTGATACAGGAAGTGCTCCAGTGTGTTTACATCTTCACCGTAGATATAGAACGGTAGATTTCACAAAGACTGTTTCTGTCTGTTGGAACAAATGTGTCAGTTCTGGTTCAGTCTGGTTCAGTTCTGGTTCAGTCCTGGTTCAGTTCTGGTTCAGTCCTGGTGAACGAGTTTGGACTTGGTACTGAACATGTAAAGAGTTTGGTTGTTTGTGCAGAGTCGAGGTCTGCGCTCGACAGAAGTTTCAGTCCCGCAAGTGCAGGATTCGAACCTTTGCTTTCTTAAACTCTGTCAAACACGGAGAAGCGAAAGGAATCAGGCGGCATGGTTAAGTCCTGGTTATATCCTGTTTTAGACCTGTTTTAGTCCTGATTTAGTCCTGGTTATATCCTGTTTTAGACCTGGTTTAGTCCTGATTTAGTCCTTTTAGACCTGGTTTTAGTCCTGGTTTAGTCCTGGTTTAGTCCTGGTTTTAGTCCTGGTTTTAGACCTGGTTTAGTCTGGTTTAGCCCCTGGTTTAGTCCTGGTTTTAGTCCTGGTTTTAGTCCTGGTTTTAGACCTGGTTTTCCTGTTTACCTGGTTTTAGTCCTGGTTTTAGACCTGGTTTAGTCCTGGTTTTTAGACCTGGTTTAGACCTGGTTTAGTCCTGTTTAGTCCTGGTTTATAGTCCTGGTTTTAGTCCTGGTTTTAGACCTGGTTTTAGTCCTGTTTTAGTCCTGGTTTTAGTCCTGTTTTAGTTTTAGTCCTGGTTTTAGTCCTGGTTTTAGTCCTGGTTTTAGTCCTGGTTTTAGTCCTGGTTTTAGTCCTAGGTTTTAGACCTGGTTTTAGACCTGGTTTAGTCCTGGTTTATTCCTGGTTTAGTCCTGGTTTAGTCCTGTTTTAGACCTGGTTTTAGTCCTGGTTTAGTCCTGGTTTAGTCCTGTTTAGTCCTGTTTAGTCCTGGTTTAGACCTGGTTTTAGACCTGGTTTTAGTCCTGGTTTTAGTTCTGGTTTAGTCCTGGTTTAGTCCTGGTTTTAGACCTGGTTTTAGTCCTGGTTTTAGTCCTGGTTTTAGTCCTGGTTTTAGTCCTGGTTTTAGTCCTGGTTTTAGTCCTGGTTTTAGTCCTGGTTTAGTCCTGGTTTTAGTCCTGGTTTTAGTCCTGGTTTAGTCCTGGTTTAGTCCTGGTTTAGTCCTGTTTTAGTCCTGGATTAGTCACTGGTTTAAAGTAAAAATCTTTGATCTGTTTCTATACATTCTGTGAAAATTTGAGGTTATTTCAACAAGAATTAAAGAAATTAGAAATAAATAAGAATTAAAGGAATGTAATTTTTTTCTTGATCTGTGAAAGGTTTAAAAGATTTTTTATTTATTTTTTCCTGTTGCTTTACAAGACAAAGGCAAATAATGGCAGAAATATGTATTTGTGTTAACTGTCAGATTTTGTTGTTGTTGTTGTTGTCTTTAAATTGATGCCAACAAAATAATAAATAAATAAAATAAAATATAATAAAAATATAATTAAATATTTTTTTAAATAAAGAAAAATAAAATAATAAAAAAATAAAACAAATAATAAATTGTCTTTAAACTGATGCCAACAAAATAATAAATCAATCAATAAATAAAATAAATAAATAATAATTAAATCAAATTAAAAATAAAGAAAAATAAAATAAAATAATAAAAAAAATAAATAAATCAAACAAAATAAAATAAAACAAAAAACATAAATAAAACAATAAATAAAATAAATAAATAATAAAATAAAAATATAATAAAAAATAAACAAATAAAATAAAATGGTAAAATTTAATTAAATTAAAAAATAAAATAAAATTATTGGCCTGTGAAATGATGTCAAATGTTTTGGGACACCCTTTATAAAAATACATTAAGTCCATTGCTGATTTTATTTTTTACACACTAACACTAATTAATAAAAGTTTGGAGCGGTGACTTTCTAATTTGATGTGTTCTGCTCAAAACCATAACCAAAATATTCTAAACCAGCCACTTGCCAATTACTGGATTCAGCCGATGATTGTGTCACGAATCACTTCTCCATTGTCGTCTCCCTATTCTCATTTTCTGATTTAAAATGATTTGGAACGTCGTATAATTTTACCAACCCAGAACTCATTTTGTGACATCGGTAAGAGGTGTTTTTTTGTGTGTTTATTTTGTTAAATTTGATTCTCTCTCTGTTTTTTCCTCAGCGTGCACCTGTACTACCTGTTCCCCAACCTAGAGGAGGGAGGACTGGCCACGTACAGAACAGCCATCGTCCAGAACCAGCACCTGGCCATGCTCGCCAAGGTAACCACGGCTCCACACACGGCCTGGAATGTCCCGCAGTAGAGCATTAAAGAGCTCGTATTACGTTATTTACTGTTATAATGTTGTTTCCTCGTCGCAAACAGAACTGGACACATTTTTAACACACAAACCTGCAGATTTAGGCGCTTTTTTTTTTAGTTCTCTCGAACTGAAAACACTCTGTTCCACCTTGTGATGTCATGATGTGGTGATATAACAGGAAGTGCTCCACTGTGTTTTTAAAGTCCGCACACTTTCACTGGAATCATTTGGATCATTTAATTTCAGACCTGGAATTGTCAATCTCGACTGAACTAAAAAGTAAAAGGAGCTGTTCACTTGAAAACGAGTCCTCTTTTAGACCTGGTTTAGTCCCGGTTTAGTTTAGTCTTGGATTCAGATCTGTTGTAGTTTAGATTTGGTTTAGATTTGGTTTAGATTAGACTTGGTTTAGTTTAGACCTGGTTTAGTTTAGTCCTGGTTTAGACCTCATTTAACCCTGGTTTAGACCTGGTTTAGTTTAGTCTTGGTTTAGAGCTGGTTTAAACTCAGTTTAGTCCTGTTTTAGACCTGGTTTAGTCCTGGTTTATTCCTGCTTTATACCTGGTTTAGACCCGGTTTAGTTTAGTCCTGGTTTCAGCTTTGGTTTAGTCCTGGTTTAGTTTAGTCCTGGTTTAGATCTGGTTTAGTCCTGGTTTAGTCCTGGTTGAGACCTGGTTGAGACCTGGTTTAGACCTGGTTTAGTCCTGGTTGAGACCTGGTTGAGACCTGGTTTAGACCTGGTTTAGACCTGGTTTAGTCCTGGTTTAGACCTGGTTTAGTTTAGTCTTGGTTTAGACTTGATTAACACCTGATTTAGACTTAGTTTAGACCTGGTTTAGACCTGGTTTAAACTCGGTTTAGACTTGGTTTAAACTCGGTTTAGACCTGGTTTAAACTCGGTTTAGACTTGGTTTAAACTCGGTTTAGACCTGGTTTAGATCTGGTTTAGGCCTGATTTAGACCTGGTTTAAACTCTGGTTTAGACCTGGTTTAGATCTGGTTTAGACCTGGTTTAGACCTGGTGTAGTTCAGTCTTGGTTTAGACCTGGTTTAGACCTGGTTTAGACCTGGTTTAGACCTGGACCACTGAGGGAATAGAAAAGAAAGTTCTTCCATTAAATGTTTGAAATCACAAATCTTAATTTCTGTCCTGTTTTTCTTTTTTTAGTATCAATATTTGTGGAAAACGAGTCTCTACTGCAGTTTCAATTAGAGTTTTAACATCGATTAGTTTCCGATTTCCGATTTCTTTTTTT